CGTTTGACAGAAATGTTTAAAAAGTGTTGGGTTTCCTACGAATCCGCAAGAGCGCGCGGGATGAATTTTGACATTTTTTTTAAAAACCATTGTTTTTTTTGATGTTTTTATGTTAAAATCGCTACGAAAACTAAGGTTTTGGAAGGATTTCGTCTTGCGCGCGCGAATGTCCACTTTACCTTATTTTTTGCAAGGGATTCTTGAAGTTTGGTTATGTTAGAACAAGAAATGTCCACTTTAGCTTATTTTTTGCAAGGGAAAGCGGGCCGTAACAAAACAACCGGATCCGGACCAACCCGTTTTGCCTGAGACTTCCTCACGAAAATGATGAAAATGTGGCTGCGGCCTAGGCGCGGCGGGGGGGCCGCGCACCAGGGGCCCCAACAATAATTATTCTTTAGAAGTAATAATGTTCAACAACACCTCCACCACCAACAACAACAACAACAACAACACCACCACCAACAACAACAACAACAACATCAACAGCAACAGCAACAGCAACAGCAACAACAGCAGCAGCAACAACAGCAACAGCAACAGCAACAGCAACAACAGCAACATCAACAGCAACAGCAACAGCAACAACAACAAGCATAATCCCCACTACGCAGTCTCACTTTAGCTTCGCGCCCAGGGATAATGAATGACAGTTCGGCCCCCCTATTCTGATTAACTTTCGGAGCTCCGCGCAGATTCCTTGGATCGGCGCTGGCCCCCCCCTGACGGCGCCTCCGCCGCCACCCCTGGCGCGCTCCGCGCGCGCACCAGGGAGGGGGGCCCAGCGCGGATCCAAAGAGTCCGCGCGAAACTCCGACTCTTTGCGTTTGTGCCGTTCTTTTCTTTAGTTTGAGTATCGAGGAGGAGGGAGCATCGAGGATCGATGAGGAAGGAGCGTCGAGGATCAAGGAGGATGGAGTTTCGAGGATCCAGGAGGAGGGAGTGCCGGGGGACTTTCGGGGATCGAGGAGGCGGGAGAATCGAGATGAGGTCCCTGCCGTTCCTGGGTATCTCTGGGGGCCCTCTGGGGGGGGGTCTGAAGGGCCTGGGGTCTGTGACCAGTTGCGAGCCCTCCTCCTCCCCCTCCTCCTCCCCCTCCTCCTCCTCCTCCTGCTCCTCCTCCTCCTCCTTCTCCTTCTCCTCCTCCTCCTCCTTCTCCTCCTCCTCCTCCATCGTCCATCCTCCCTCCTCCTCCTCCTCCTCCTCCTCCTCCTCCTCCTCCTCCTCCTCCTCCCCGTCCTTGTCCTCCTCCTCCTCCTCCTCCTTCTCCTTCTCGTTCTCCATCCTCCTCCATCCTCCTCCTTCTCCTCCTTCTCCTCCTCCTCCTCCTCCTCCTTGTCCTCGTCCTCCTCCTCCTACTCCCCGCGGGTCCAATCGACGCCAGGGTGTTGGGCACCCCGCTGGGGTTAACCTTAAGTCGGGCCCGTCCCTCTACAGGGGGAATAATCAAACATGGTCAAAAATAACTAGTCTGGGGACTGTTGTTTGACTACTGTTCCTTATTTGTGGGGTATTTTTTGAGTTTTTTCATTTATCGCCCAAAATCCCCCTGTAGGGGACACGCCCGACTTAAGGTTAACCCGGCTGCAGACATCTTTCAAATTGAATCCCTCCGTCTCGTTGAACCGATAATCCCCATCCCCATCCCGATCCCCACCATCCCACCACACTTGTTGGGGATATGCCCCTCGAAACTCGAAGGGAGCAGCCTGTATTCCCATCTAGGGGGTCAATCGGCCAGTGTGGCCCAGGCCACGCCTTTGGCGATAGGGATCGGTTAAACGATGCTCAGGTTAACCTGGCTGCAACCTTCCTTCGACTTCAATCCCAGCCGGCGTTTCAGACATCTTGCCTGCAGGGTTTTGCCATGAAGGAAAGGGGTCCTGAAGGAAACGGGTCCTGAGGTTTTTCGTCGGTTTCGGGCTCTCGGGGCCCTCGACGGTGCCCGTGGCTATCAGAAAACTGCTCAGGATGAAGAACTGTTCGTGGGGGGAGGCCCTGGGGTCCAGGACCCGTTTCCCTCAGGACCAGTTTCTTTGTTTTCTCTTCCTCCTCCTCCTCTTCTTCCCCCATCTTCCTGCTCATCCTCCTCCTTTCTTCTTCCTCCCCAATTGCATGTCGACCGGGGTTGCTGCTTCCGCGCCGGTGCTGTTTTCTCCCTGCTCACCCCCAGTCCTTCTGCCCTTCTCTGGCCTCTCTGGTGGCAGCGTGTTTGCTCTTAGGGGGCAGGAGTTGTCCACGAAATTCTGCTCTGTAGCTTGCCCGTGGCTTGCCTCGCTGTCCGCTGGCGGGATAAAGCCCTCTTGAAATGCAGCGGGCCTCATCATCTCAGTTGCCGTTTTGATATGATACATATATATATATGTAGATAAATATGTATGGTCTTCTCTTCCAAGTCGTCTTCCTTCCCGTGACCGCCCTTCTCTTGCTAGCCAGTGTCGTTCTTCTTCCTTCCTCCTTCCTTGACCCTCCTCCCTCCTCCCTCCTCCTCTTCCCTCCTCCTTCTCCCGATCTCCCTCCCTCCCTCCCTTCCTTCGTTTCTACTTGCCTCCTCATGCTCGTCCGCCTCCCTCGTCTCACATGCGGCGCTGGATTACCCGTTTTGGCCGTTTGGGCCAGGCAACGGTAGCGCACTTCCCATCGGTCGTGCCGCCTTTTGCCACGGGGTGCGAGTGTATGTTTGTGCTGCGTCGCGGTCGTGCCATCAGCCTTTTTGGTGTTTATTTCCTAACAGCGAAGACTGATAGGTTCTAGTGGTCTCAAAAGAGAACATCATGACTCCCCAGGGGGGTCTGGGCAGATGCCGGACGGGTGCCGCGGGAATCTGGGGACTCCCGCGGGAATCCGGGGACTCCTTTTTAAGCCAACAGTAACGCACTTCGTGGTCTTCGAGTTCCCAGAACTCCATTCCTGGGCATGATTTTGAATGCCCAGAGCCAGCTGTAGGCCACTTCGTGGTCTTCGAGTTCCCAGAACTCCATTCCTGGGCAATATTTTGAATGCCCGGAGCCAGCTGTAGGCCACTTCGTGGTCTTCGAGTTCCCAGAACTCCATTCCTGGGCATGATTTTGAATGCCTGGAGCCAACTGTAGGCCACTTCGTGGTCTTCGAGTTCCCAGAACTCCATTCCTGGGCATGATTTTGAATGCCCGGAGCCAACTGTAGGCCACTTCGTGTTCTTCGAGTTCCCAGAACTCCATTCCCGGGCCACATTTTGAATGCTGAGGCAGGCTGATGCTGAGGCTGAGGCAGGCTGAGGCTGAGGCAGGCTGAGGCTGAGGCCGAGGCTGAAGGCAGACTGAGGCTGAGGCTGAAGCAGGCTGAGGCTGAGGCTGAGGCAGGCTGAGGCTGAGGCTGAGGCAGGCTGATGCTGAGGCAGGCTGAGGCTGAGGCTGAGGCTGATGCAGGCTGAGGCTGAGGCAGGCTGAGGCTGAGGCCGAGGCTGAAGGCAGACTGAGGCTGAGGCTGAAGCAGGCTGAGGCTGAGGCTGAGGCAGGCTGAGGCTGAGGCTGAGGCAGGCTGATGCTGAGGCAGGCTGAGGCTGAGGCTGAGGCTGATGCAGGCTGAGGCTGAGGCAGGCTGAGGCTGAGGCCGAGGCTGAAGGCAGACTGAGGAGGCTGAAGCAGGCTGAGGCTGAGGCTGAGGCAGGCTGAGGCTGAGGCTGAGGCTGAGGCTGAGGCTGATGCTGAGGCAGGCTGAGGCTGAGGCTGAGGCTGATGCAGGCTGAGGCTGAGGCAGGCTGAGGCTGAGGCCGAGGCTGAAGGCAGACTGAGGCTGAGGCTGAAGAAGGCTGAGGCTGAGGCTGAGGCTGAGGCTGAGGCTGATGCTGAGGCAGGCTGAGGCTGAGGCTGAGGCTGATGCAGGCTGAGGCTGAGGCAGGCTGAGGCTGAGGCCGAGGCTGAAGGCAGACTGAGGCTGAGGCTGAAGCAGCTGAGGCTGAGGCTGAGGCAGGCTGAGGCTGAGGCTGAGGCAGGCTGATGCTGAGGCAGACTGAGGCTGAGGCTGAGGCTGATGCAGGCTGAGGCTGAGGCAGGCTGAGGCTGAGGCCGAGGCTGAAGGCAGACTGAGGCTGAGGCTGAAGCAGGCTGAGGCTGAGGCTGAGGCTGAGGCTGAGGCTGAGGCTGAGGCTGAGGCAGGCTGAGGCTGAGGCTGAGGCAGGCTGAGGCTGAGGCAGGCTGAGGCTGAGGCTGCAGGCTGAGGCTGAGGCAGGCTGAGGCTGAGGCCGAGGCTGAAGGCAGACTGAGGCTGAGGCTGAAGCAGGCTGAGGCTGAGGCTGAGGCTGAGGCTGAGGCTGAGGCAGGCTGATGCTGAGGCAGGCTGAGGCTGAGGCTGAGGCTGATGCAGGCTGAGGCTGAGGCAGGCTGAGGCTGAGGCCGAGGCTGAAGGCAGACTGAGGCTGAGGCTGAAGCAGGCTGAGGCTGAGGCTGAGGCAGGCTGAGGCTGAGGCAGGCTGATGCTGAGGGCTGAGGCTGAGGCTGAGGCTGAGGGCTGAGGCTGAGGCAGGCTGAGGCTGAGGCTGAGGCAGGCTGAGCTGAGGCAGGCTGAGGCTGAGGCTGAGGCTGATGCAGGCTGAGGCTGAGGCTGAGGCTGAGGCTGAAGGCAGAGGCTGAGGCTGAAGCAGGCTGAGGAGGCTGAGGCTGAGAGGCTGAGGCAGGCTGAGGCTGAGGCTGTGACTGCGACTGCCGTTGCCACTGCGACTGTCATCGCGAATGCGACTACGACTGCGAGAACAGCAGAATTCTACAACTGGATTCTCATCTGAATCTTAAGGGGAATGCTTCCAGATATGCTCCTACACATCGCTGTTAGGTTGCTTTGCCGGGATAATTCCTATTCCTGAGATATTATTACTGTTAGGTTTCTTCTCAGTGTTGTGTTAATGATGTTTCTCCTCATGTTCCTCCGGCATATTGAGCATATGGATACCCAGAGGGGCTCCGTCTCCAGGCGGAGGTGGCGGCCCCCCTCAGCGGCGACCCCTGTCGGCTCTGCCCGGGCAGGGTCTTTGGCGACCCGCACGTGACGACGTTCGACGGGTCCCACGTGAGCTTCTACTCCCAGGGCGAGTACTGGCTCGTCAAGAGCCAGACGGTGCTCCGGGGCGCAACGCCAGGGGGGGAAGAGGCTCGAGGCTCGGGCGTGCGATGGCGTCGAAGTTCAGGTGGTTTGCGCTCGCGCTTTCAGAGCGCACGAGTTCGAGCTCGAGGGTGGTCGTTGGGCTGAGGGGGTGGACGTTGGGCAGGGGGGGGGGGTCGACGTTGGGCTGAGGCGCTTCGAGCTCGAGGTTTCAAAGCGTTTTCGCAGGTTCTCGGCGGCTTTCCTCCCTCGGGATGCCTTCCAGCAGCTGCGCCTCGCCGGGAGCGCTGCCCAGAACTCAGAGGCGACGACAGGGGCGAATAGCCCAGGGAGGAGCAATATACATGCCTCCAGGGGCGCCGAGGATCCCTGTCTTCGGCGAGGCTCCCAGGCGAGCTACGCGTAATGCCCGCCCCCGGGCTATTCGCCTCCTTCGTCGCCCCCCGAAGAACGGCCCGCCCGGCCGATGGAGGCCCGCGGGGGCACAGACCCCGACGTCGCCCAGGGGTGGGCCGGTGGGGGCCCGACACTCCACGCCGCCCGAGCGCGTCCGGATTCGCTGTCGGGGGTCTGCCGCAGATCCCTCGGCGGCGTGCCGCCGGTGCCGGCTCGACGTGTCCCCCCCCGGGCCAGTCTCGGGGGCGACGACAGGGGCGAACTGGCCCAGGGGCAAAGCCATACGTGTATCCAGGGGCGCCGATGGTGCATGCCTTCGGTGAGGCTCCCGGGCGCATGCGCGTAAGGCCCGCCCCTGGGCTACTCGCCCCTATCGTCGCCCCCGGCAGTCGCCCCCCCACAGCGCGCCGTGTTCGAAGGGGAAGCGCTGCACAAGCAGAACACTTTCGGACCTCCGCGCGGACTTCCGGATCGGCGCCGTGGCCCCCCTGGCGGGCCTCCAGCGCCGCCCGCGCGCCAGGGAGGGGGGTCCAGCGACGATCCAAGAAGTCCGCGCGGACCCTGACATCCTCCGGTCTGGCTTTTCAGCCCGCGGCCCATGAGGCCCCGCCCGCGGGAGGTCTTTGATGCTGACCCCCCCAAGGTTTCGGCTGGCACTTGAACTTGTCCCTCCCCTCCTCGTCCATATTATTTGTCTTGTGACTACTCGTATGTTTATCTTGTTATCCTATTAAAGTCCTTATTATCCTCCTCCTTCGTGTTACTATATTGTGAATTTCAGATTTGTGTGAGTTTAATTAGTATCATCATCACAATCAGAATTATTTGTATGCGTATCATAGTGGTACTAAATGATGATATAGTTACTGTTTTAACACTGTTACTGTTACTAGTATTATATTTAGTCGTGTTACTACTTATTATGTGTTATGTTGATGCATTCTTCTTCGCCATCATCATTAGGGTCCTCAATCTCCCTCCGATCATCAGCGGTGGCCGCCGCAGGGACTGCTTGCTTCAATTATTGTTGAGGCCACAATCCGTCAATAAGTCCGCCAAAAATCCACCGTTAGTCTCCACTACAGTCGGGGCCCTGAAGAAGGAACCCTTTTCGTTGGGGAGGGGCTCGGTGTTCCTTGCTTGTTCTGCAGTGTACCTTCGGTTCTCCTGAGGTTTCCCATGGGAAATCGAAGTTCAACTTATGGGAGAAAGGGGCCTCGTTCCTTATTGAGGGTTCCTCAGGTCAACGCCCCGACTGTACAGAAGGGGGTCTATCAAAGACCAATCGCTGCTCGTGCTTCGCCCCTGATGCGTGTGTTGATCGCCCCGGGGCCCGAAAATGGCCCCCCAAGGGGCCCCAGCGCGAGGGAGAGCCGCCGATCCAAGAAGTCCGCGCGGGCCTCTCCGCCGGTCTGAGGCCTGCGTTGGCTGTTTCTCCGAGGAGGAGGAGGAGGAGGAGGAGGAGGAGGAGGAGGAGGAGGAGGAGGAGGAGTCCCCCCAGGGGGCCCGAAAAGGCGCATGAGGGCAGCGGAGAGCGGATGAAAACGGAGTCCTCACCGCCCCTTATGCTCACCACCCACCAAACCACCCCAACCCAACCCGAAGGCCCAAATTGGCCATGGATTTCCAGTTGGGGGGGGGGGGGGTCGGGGAACATCGAAAAAACACGTGTGGAGCCCGTACCCCCCCCCAAACCCGAAACTTGGGTCTTCGGGTTAGGTTGGGGTGGTTTTGTAGGTGGTCATATGCTCCAGCCTCCCAGATGATCAACGCAATAAAGCGGGGTCGCCCTCACCGACATGGGCGCGTCGGCTGCCCGCGCAAGCTCGTGCGTGCGCGCCCTCGCTTCCAGTGTGGCGCGACGCGCTGGCGGCCCGCGTAAGCCGCGGCGTGAGGTCGCCATGTGCTGTCGCGTGAGACCCGTTTCTTCTCGTCACCCAGGTGTGGATCCAGGCCCGCTATTTGCCCACGCCAGTCACCAACGGCCTCTCCGTAGTCAAGGAGGTTGCCGTCGGAGGGCCCTTCCTGGACAGCGCGGACGGCAGGAAGAACATCCTCCGCATCAGCGCCCTGAAGGCAGTTCCCCTGCCGGCCTCCCCTAGGAGGGGCTCGTCGTCTAGTCCGCTTCCTGGGTGATTCGAGGTTCCAGGTTTTCGGGCGTGTTCGTCGGTTCTCGGCGGTTTTCCAGCCTCGGGAGGCCTTCCAGCAGCTGCGCCTCGCCGAGAGGCGTCCGGGGGTGCCCGGATCATCCCGAACGGCCGCCAGAGAGCCGAGGCAACACCCGAAAGCCAGGGGGCAGCGCTGCGACGAGGTCTTCTCGCTTGGGCGCCCACCGCCATGTCCAGAACCACTGCCTCGGCCTCATGCCCCAGGAGCCCGAGGAGCGGTGGATCTGGACGGCTGCACGCCCGCGTGGGCGGGGCAGATGTCCGCACCCACCGCTCCCCGAGGGGTTCCTGGGGCGCGGCCCCGCGGCAGTGGACGTGGGCGTGCTCGGGCGGCGCGGTGCGCGCCGCGTCGTCTGGCCGGCCGAGGGTCCAAGGAGACCGGCGAGGGACGTCGGTGAGAGCTCCTCCTCCTCCTCCTCCTCCTCCTCCTCCTCCTCCTCCTCCTCCTCCTCCTCCTCCTCCTCCTCCTCCCTCAAGTTCTCGGCCTGAGAGCATTTTGCCCTCGGCCAGCCCTCGCCTCCCCGTGGCACTTGAGGGACACCGAGTGGTATAGCGGTCCCCACCACCGTACCCCTTGGTTGACGAAGAAGGGCATATCTCAGGAGGGAAAGAAACACACAGACACAATTAATCGTCGGTTTTCCAGAAAATATGGGAAAATATGGGAAGTGGGGGGGAAGACAAAAACTCAGAAAATATAAGAAAATATGGGGAATGTTTTTATTTGTGTGTATTTATTTGTGTGTCCCAGGGCCTCTTCAATATCCGTTCCTTATCATATCTAGTCATGGCAAGTTCTGCGCACGCCTCTGGAGCCGCTGCCGCGGCTGCGGGAAGAATGAGTGGAACGATGTCCTCGAGAAGCAGAATAGGCAGTGTTCCAAGTGCAAGCGCACAGTGCGTCTTCATGCCGGCCGTTCCAAGTCGCCTGGCAAGAGGGTCACCTTTGATGATCACACCGAGTCAGCGAATGTGCCCAAACCCATCTTGAAGACAGGAGCCTCTGCCACCTCAGCTGCTGCGATTGCGGGCGACCACCTCGCCAATGCGATCAAGGTGACTGAGGATCCCACCATCCGAGCCGCTCTTCAAGCTGAGTTCGACAAGCTGAAGAGCCAGCAGATGGGCTCCACCGCCAGCCACGACTCCGCGGCGGAGGAGTCTCGCAGGCCCGACGCAGCCTGGCGCGACGCCCACGCCAAGCACACCCAGGAGGTCAATGCTGTGGTCAGGCTTCGCGGCCTCGTCGAAGCGGCGGAGACCAAGGAGCGTGCTGCTGCCGTCGCCTTGGCCGCCGCCACCACGGCGAAAGAGGCAGCGGCCCGCAGGCCGGCGGAGGCCGAGGGCGCGATGTCCGAGCCCGCCTCCGCAGCGCCCGCCGGCGGCACAGCTGCCGACGGGAGCAAGCTCTTCCACCTCTCCTGGGACGAGGGCATCTTCGCGGGCGCGGAGGAGCTCGAGCAGTCCGAGAGGGGCAACGTGAGGGAGCTCGAGCGTCAACTGCGCGAGGCCAAGGATAACCTCTCCACCAGGGAGGAGGAGATCCGCGGCTGGCTTGCCAAGGCGGCGGCCGTTCGCAGGATGGTCGAGGAGCGTAGGAACAAGAAGCGCAAGGTCGACGAGGACGCCGCCGACACCATGCAGGAGGATGGCAGCGGCAGCAGCGGCAGCGGCAGCGGCAGCAAACAGGCTGAGGCGAGCAAGGCCCCAGCAGCAGCCCCACCACAGCCCCCCTCGACGCCAGAGGCTGCTGCGCCCGCAGCGCCTCATGCAGCGCCCCCTCCCTCGCCGCAGGCGGAGGAGGAGGCGGCCGAGCTCTCGCAGGCCAACTTCGCGGCGGCAGCAGCTAGGAGCAACAGCGCCGCCAACAGCAAGGGCATGTCCTCAGGGTCTGCGAAGGCTACAGGCAAGGGCTACAGCTCGAGCCCACCTTCCACCAAGTGATATGGAGTGGCAACCTCGCCGGCCTCGGCCGAGCGGTCGACGGGGTCATCCACGCCGCCATCTACGAGCTCGCCGTCACCATCCTCGCCCGGCATTATGTTTTTGGATGATGCGCAGGGTGCCACCGCACTACCTGGGAGTGAGGTCTCACATCAGCCAGTTACCCGTTCGCAGGCTGGATTAGTCGAATGCAATGAGGGGATCGATGATTATGCAGATGTTGGTGAGGGGACCAGTATGGAATCTTGTGATCATGATGCACGTGTCTTCTTTATGGGAATGTCACAAGCATGGGTGACCGCGTATGGCAATTCCTGCAGGCATCTAAGCGTCACTACTCCATGTGGCCGATTGCGGAGACACATGTTTCACGCAAGGACCTCCGACTTTGGGATGTCAAGCTTCGCTCCGCTGGCCTGCGTCTTCATGCTGATCCCGCCCGTGATGGACCTGCAGGTCGTGTGGTCTCAGCTGCTCAGGCCGCTCGTGCCAACGAAGGAGGCGAGCGGGTTGTCAGCAAAAGTCACTTACAGGCTCGTCATCTACAGGAGACATGCAGCACTTCCGTCCTACGCGCGGGCGACTCAGACGCCCTGGGTGGCATGATGCCAGTCGTGACCCACATGCAAGGTTATCCCAACGTCATTCGGGCTTTCTATGGGCTCAGCACAGTGGGGTTCACTGGCCAGAATCTTATTCGATGTCAGAAGCTCGGGGCGGTGCTGCTATCTTTACAACTGCCTTGGGTGATCATTGGTGACTTCAACGTTCCAGCACCAGCTATGGTCAAGTCATCCTTCGCCCAGAGGGTCGATGGGCACGTGGTCACTCCCGACGCTGCTTACATTTGTGACGCAGGTACTAACGGCAGTATCATCGACTACGAATTGTCCAGCACATTGGCCCTGGGCTACATTCGCGCGTTCCGACCAGTCTATGCTGTTCCATGGCAGACTCACATTGGACTGGAGTTGGTGCTTCGCAGCAGCGGGACTCAACTGATCACCAGGACGCTGGAGATGGTTGCCCGCTTACCCCAGGTGGCACGCCGTGGGGCCGTGCACCTGGATCTAAGTCCAGCCAGGCTCGGTCCAAGCGGAATCAGGAGCGCCTGCAGGCCTCGGAAAAAAGATCTGCTAAATACGCTGAGCTTCTCGGTGATTGCCTGAGTGCTCTCTCACCTCCCGCCAAGGACCCCTCTGCGGGTGATTCGACCGATGCGGATGACCACCTCGAGGTCGAGTCGTTTTGTTCTGAGGGGGATCCTTGGGCGTCCGATTTTAATTTCGCCCCTTCAGGCAACGGCGCTGATAGCGGCACCGCTGCTGAGACCTCTTCCCCAGGACCGAGCAACAAGAACCCTGGCGAGGGCTGCCTTCCGCGTGGCGGGGGGGCCGTGTGGCGTTTCGCCTGGGGCTCCCTCGGTGCCCCCTGGGACCCCCACTGGAGCCCCATCGCCCTACTGTCGCGCAGGAGATCCCTAATTCGCACCAGTCTCCCAGCCATAGTAAGGTTGAGCCTTCTTATAGTATTCCGTCTGATCTTTGGGAGGCCAAGCAGGCCTCTGTAGGGTGCGTTCGTTTTTCCTTTTCCCCCCTCCCCTCATACATCGAGAACTCTGTGGTGTGCCAGCTCGACCCCGTCGGGTGCCAGTTGCTCAGCGGAGTGCACGCGTCTTGGGTGGGGGGCCCTGCAGGCCAGCATCTTAGAGCACCGCGGCACGTCTGCGGTCGGGACTTCTCGAGGCGATATCCCTCGGTTTGTGGCCCACGGAGTTCGTGGGCGCAGGAAATTTCGGGGGGCGCCTCTTCGGGGCGGCGCTGCTACCTGGTGGGCACCTCTCCACGCGGCGTTTGCAGGGCTCTCCAAGCATAGGTCACGTCGATGCGGAGTGGTGCAACAGCGCCAACTGGAGAAGGCATGCATCAGGCTGGTCGAAGACCGACCAGAGCAAGTTCATACTGTTGCCAGAGAAGGACTGGGGCGCAGTTGGTCTGAATGGCTGCATGATCTCATCGGCGCTTTTGAGTTGCCCTCCGCCCGCTCGATCAAACTGGTGGAATTGTCGGGCAGGCCGGCCAGGAGGAGCCAGCGACGTGCGACGGCGGGTTCTCTCAAAGAGTTTCGCCATTGGGCATTTACCTCTGAGGCTCTGGGGACCCTGCACCAGTCGACTAGGCAAGGTCCCTTTCCTGCCCTGGGTCACGTGGAAGACGGGCCGTTTTGTTCCATCCCAGGGGCATTATCGATTTCAAAGCGCGGAAGTGGAAGGCCTCATGGGCCCCAGAGATGCCCGAGCCAAAACCGCCCTCGCATCTGTCATGGCTATCGTTCGCGCCGCTGTTCGCGACAATCCCGCGCCCCTGCCACTACTAATTGCCCGTGATCTTCGGGTAGCTCTTAGGGCAATGAAGAGCAATATTGGTCTGGGCGTTGATCGCATTACCCCTGGGGATCTCGAACGCCTTCGTGATGCGGGACTTAGTGCTTTAGCCGACATCCTGAACGCTGCTGAGAGCCTCCTCATGCGGCCGGCGCAGACCCTCCTTGTGATAGGCAAGTTGCTCCTCAAGAAGGCTTGGGGGGACCGAATCATTGGGCTCATCTCCATGGTGGGCAGGGTCTGGAGCAAGGCCCGTGAACCCTGGGTTCAGAACTGGCCCACCATCACGGAGCCTTCCTGGGGCGCCGCGGTTCGCAGCCACCCAGCTCCCAAGGGGGCTTTTCGTCGACTGCTTGAGGAGGAAGCGGCAGGAATTATGGACATTCCCTACGGTCACAGCCTTGTTGATATCGAGTCGTATTATGACACGATGTTCTGGCTCAAACTTGCGCGTGCAGCCATCGGCTTGGAATTCCCGCCGACGGTCCTCTACCTTGAGACTTTAGAATGTGCGTGTCCACGAACGCTGAATCAGTTGTCGGCGTTCTCAGTACCTATTGAAGTTACGAGGTCCATCGTTC